GTTTGGTCTTAGTGCCCACTTTATCTCCTGGATCAAATTATTGTATACCTCCCCCCAGGCTTCAGCATGCACAAACACACAGCGTTCGGACCCATTTCCTCTTTTCCGTGGCACACGCCAGGGTTGGCCGCTTTCCCCCTTGTTGTTTGCGCTCGAGATTGAACCACTCTCAGCTGCTCTAAAATCTGATCGCAGAATAAAAGGAATCATGAGGCAGGGGTTTGAACATCGCGTTTCGTTGTACGCTGATGATCTCCTCCTATATGTGAGAGACCCCCTAACAAGCATTCCTCCTATCCTTTCACTTTTAAGCTTGTTCGGCGTTTTCTCTGGGTACAAATTGAACATTTCCAGAAGTGAATTTCTCCCAATTACCCAACTGGCTTTGGACTTGCCACCCTCATCAGTACTGTTCAGGACCACTAGGTCAGGAATTAAATATCTAGGTGTAATAGTAACACGATCCATGCGTACACTGCAAGAAAAACATTTCTCCGCTCTGACAACAGCAGTTAAATTGGATCTCCAGAGGTGGAACTGCCTACAACTCTCTCTGGCGGGCAGGATTCAAACGATAAAAATGAATGTTTTGCCGAGATATCTCTATCTTTTTCAGTGCCTGCCAATCTTCCTCCCTAGATCCTTCTTCAGATCTATAGAGAGTATAATTTCATCCTTTCTTTGGGCTGCTAAGCGGGCAAGAGCAAATAAGACCTTACTTGAGAGGAAAAGATCAGTGGGTGGGCTTGGATTTCCTAATCTCCTTGGTTACTATCGGGCAGCTAACGTACAAAACGTTTTACTCTGGTTCATCTCACCCCAGCTAAGCTGGTGTCAGACTGAAGCAAGCTCCTGTTCCTCCTTACTCCAAGCTTTAATATGTAGTACTTTGCTTCTTTCCCCCTCAAATTTTACTTCTAACGTTATAGTAATCAATACAATAAAGATATGGACACAAATTAGATGTCAGTTTGGATGGCTCACTCTCCCTCAAGCGTCACCTATCTGTAATAACTATAACTAAATAATTTGCGCCGGTGAAAACTGATGCACGTTTCACCACTTTACTGAATAAGGGTCTTCGCTGCCTGGGCGATCTGTACATAGATGGGCTTTTTGCCAGTTTTGAACAGTTATGCTTGGCATTTAATTTACAAAGCTCAGATTTTTTTCGATACTTCCAGCTTCGTGATTTTGCTAGAACCTACTCACCCCTGTTCCCTCAAGCCCCACCCCTCAGTGGCATAGATTTAGTACTTGAGACAAAAACCTTGCGGAAAGGCCATATCTCGTTTTCTATGACCTTCTGACTCCAACTAAGGAATCAGTTTGTGGTCCATGGTATAATTTCACAGCTGATATTTATTTATTTTACCTTTTTGTCTTTTTTTACACAATTACTCCACCTATTGTATGTTAGTGAATTCTGGTGTGTTTTAGTATTTTTATATCAATGGCACTGATTATTCTCATAATCGCTACGTGGTTTAATATGAGGTCCGTGGGTGGGTTGAGAGGGAGTTTATTAAAGGGATAGGGTTTGAGGACTATGTGCTTTTGCTGTATTGGAGGAAAAAAAAAAAAAAACTGGATACTGATTGCATTAATGTTGATGTACATTCTTGTCTGGATTCAATAAAAATATTTATGAAAAAAAAAAAAGAGGGGGGGTGGCTGCCGCATTGGAGTTGTACACAAGTTGTGGAGGTGGAGGTGATGGAGGAGGAGGTGGAGGAGGAGGAGGAGAAGCAGCATTGGAAGTGGGAGTGGCTGCCGTATTGAATCTGTTGCAGAACTGATTGAGTTCATCAGCTCATTCTGCATTACCCACCACTGGCTGTCTTTTCTTGTTGTTGTAACCAGAGATGGTGTTGACTCCTCTCCACATTTCACGGATGTTGCTGTGTTGTAGATCCCTCTCCAGTTTCTTTTTGTATTCCACCTTTGCCATCTTAAGTCTCTTCTTCAACTCATGTTGCACTTGTTTGAGCCGTGCTTTGTCACCATCTCTAAAAGCTGCCTTCTTCTCATTGAGGATTGCCTTTATGTCACTGGTAATCCAAGGTTTGTTATCGTGGAAACAGCGTACAGTCTTTGTAGGTATGACTGTGTCTCTACAGAAGTTGATGTAATCAGTAACAGTCAACCTGTCTATCAATGTCCATGATGTTCTCCTCCATTTCCAGCAGCACATCCCAGTCTGTGCATTCAAAGCAGTCTCTTAGAGCCTCAGTAGCCTCTGGTGTCCATTTCCTGACTGTGAGTTTAGTTGCAGGCTGCCTCCACACACGGGGTTTGTAACATGTCTGCAGAAGAACCAAGTTGTGATCTGACCTGCCCAGTGGTGGTAAGGCAGTGGCTCTGTAAGCTTCTTTGACATTGGCATACAGCAGATCAAGGGTTTTATTTTCTCTGGTTGGACAGTTAACAAACTGTGTAAATCCAGTCAGGTGAGAGGAGAGGGAAACATGGTTGAAGTGTCCTGATATTATCAATAGTGCCTCAGGATGTTTAGTCTGTATCTTAGCAACGAGTTCATGGAGAACTTCACATGGAACCTTCAGCAGTTGCCTTGGGTGGGATGTACACAAGTATTGTTGTGATATGACTGAATTCTCTTGGTACATAATATGGCCTCATACCAACTGCCAAAAGTTCAATATCTGGAAAATACATCTTCTCCTTGACAGTAATATGTGCAGGACTGCACCATCTCTGGTTCACAAATAAAGCCAGTCCCCCACCTTTTTTCTTGCCACTAGCTTTAGAGTCTTCGATCGTATGAGAGTGAAGCCAGGTAGGTCCACGTTGGAGTCTGAGATGTTTTGATTCAACCACGTTTCCGTAAAACACATGACACTGCACTCAAGGTATACTTTCTGAGTCTTCACCAATATCTCCAGTTCATCACTCTTGTTGGGCAGAAAGTTGACATTTCCCATGATGACTGATGGCAGAAAGGGCTTATATCTCCATTTCCAAGCCTTCACCTTTGCACCAGCATGGCAACCACGAAAACACCTTTTCATCTCGGCTGGAATAGAATGGTGTCTCCAGACTAGCTCCGTTTCAACGAAAAAAGCTCCTCTCTTGAATAAACTCTTCTCTTCACAGAAGTATCCATTAGTAGTTGAGAAAAATTTAATAAAAAATCAGTAAAACTAAGTAAAATTGCAAAGCTACCAGACTTTGCTGCTAATAGTTGAAGCGCATGTTCTAGTCAGTGGATTTGGATGAGGAGGACGTGTAAGGTATGGTAAAGGAGGTTGTTGGGTCGGTGCTGGGAGCAGTGAGAGCTGGCATTAGGGCAGTGTTTCTGGGACGCTAGAGATCACTGTCATGGGACCAGCTAGACAGAACACTGGTGAAAGGAGGTTCCCACCTGATGACCCCAAAGACATGTTAGTTATCACTGCTCACTGGTCTGTATAGTTAAGCCTTGCCATAATAGCTTATCATAGGCCTTAGGAGGTTATTCACTGAGCACTGATCCTTTCTCTAGAGCACAAAGTTCTTGTATTTATTTGAGCCCGAGAAAATAGGAGGTGTATTACAGGAGGTTCTCTGCAGATTAGGTCTATGTCAGCCTAACTAGTTTTTTAATGAAGGTGAATGAAATGTGGAGGGCATGTTCAGGACATTGAGCAGGATGTTTCCACTGAATTTTATCATATTGCTCTAATACAACTTTATGTTATGGCTAATTTACTGCTAAGCCCCCGAATCCATGTATCATTCGTTCATTTGTTTTTCAAAATAAAACCAAATATGAAAAAACAAAATAATGACTTGTTTTTTCAATATTTGTTTCCAGAACCAAAATGAAAAAACGGATAACGACTGGTTTTCCGATTTCCAATTTTCTGTTTAAATGGAAAATGGAAAAAAACGGATAATGGGCCGGGATTCGGCCCATTCATACACTTTCAATATTTTCATCTCTCGCACATTATTATTATTATTATCATTATTATTATTGAAGAAATATACAAAGATATCACACAAAATATTGGGACAAAAACGTTACATCAGTGAACGTTATATCTCAAGAATGCCTCAAGGGAATTCTTCAAATTTGACACAAATGTCCACTTGGGCTCAACAATGATTCGTTTTTGGTGGTCATAGGTCAAAGGTCAAGGTCACTATGACCTAGTCTGTCTCATTCTTGTGAACTCACTATCTCAAGAACAGGGTGAGGGAATTTCTTTTAATTTAGCACAAATGTTCGACTTTGACTCAGTGATGAATTGATTAGTTTTTGGTGGTCAAAGGTCAAGGTCAGTGTGACCATGTCTGTCTCAATGTGATATCTCAAGAGCCACTCACTGGAATTTCTTTAAATTTGACACAAATATTCACTTTGCCTGAAGAATAAAGGGGTTATAAGGTCAAAGGTCAAGATCTATATGACAAAATATGTTTTTTGGCCATAACTCAAGAATTCATAGGCTAATTTTAACAAAACTTCACACAATTGTCTAATAGGATAAAATAATGATGTGATGATATCTGATGTTCAAAAGGTCAAAGGTCAGCTTAACTGTGACTTCATAATAAAATGCATAAAACACTTTTCTGGCCATTACTCAACGTCATAACTCAGGAATAGTGGGGAGACATTTGGTCAAATATTGAATTGGTGACACTAATCTTGAAACTGTGCTAATTGTATAGATTTTGTACTGTAAGAGAAACCTAGCATACAACCACAGGGCAGTAATTCTAGTTTTAAATTTGATTGATACTTAATTGGTGATGCAGTCAAAATCCCAAAAGTAAATGTCACAGTGCTATTTAAAAATGTACCATCCGTACACCTAGCATAAACAAAGATTTAATAGAAATTTAAAGAACTCCAAATGTTACATGAAAGTTTCTTAAGTATTGAAAGCTGAACATGGCTAACTGTGCCTTCTGTCTGGTCATGTACGTGACCACAAATGTTGAGCAGTGTACATAACATCAACATAATGCTGATGATGTAATTATATTTTCAGTATGAAGACCTTGAAGACTCCATGACAGATGCGCTGGTCAACAACAAGCCCCAGTTTGTGCGTCTCTTCTGTGAGAATGGCCTGAATATCCTGGACTACCTGACATACGGCCGCTTGGAAACCTTGTACTGCTCGCTGTCAGACAGCTCACTGGCATACATTCTGCTCCAGAGGCGTCTGAGTGAGAGGCAGGACCTGGCTGGATCCCCGTCCATCCTGGATGGGGCTGTGACAACACCTCTGAAGAGTCCTCAGAGTGCACTAGGATCAGCTTCAGCAATGGAGCTCAATCTCTATGAGGTAAAGAAAAGGAGGGGAGGATGGAGAAAGGGGCAGCAGCAAGAAACCCTTTCATATGGATTAATAGCAGGTTTTATTAATTAATTACTGGTAATGGTGTACAGTGGATGAGTGGATGCTGGTGTTTAAGTCATGTTGATGTTTACTGTGTAATGATTGTGATGACGATGCTGATGATGGTAATTACTTCTATATGTAGTTCTTTTAGTTTATTTAGTTACATGTTATGCTACAGTCTTTAGTATGATTATTTCATTAACAACAGCTTCCAGTGCATGTTAGTGCTTGTGAGTCCCTGGGTGTGTATCCCTCTGGCTAGCTAATTGCCGCCACTCAGCAGTGTGAGGTTAACACCCTTAGCTCTAATAATGATAAAAATAATAATAATAATAATAATACATTTTATTTATAATGCCCTTTTCATCAAAAGATCTCAAAGTGCTACAGGTTAAAAACAAAGAAAGATAAAAAAAGAATGGAAGATAATTAAAACAAGATGAGCAGTTATTTAAAAGGTTTTAAACAAAAATATCTAAGGGGGACCAAAAGCTTTACTAAAAAGAAATGTCTTAAGACCTTTTTTAAAACAGTCAGTGGATTGTGGTGCCCTCAAGGTGTCAAGGAGGGCATTCCACAGACGTGGGGTAGCAGCACAGAAGGCCCTGTCTCCCATGGTCCTGAGTCTGGTTCTGGGTATGTGGAGGAGGTTTGAGTGAGTGGAGCGAAGGGAGCGTGTTGTGTTTTGTGGGTTGAGAAGTTCTTTGAGGTAGGGGGGTCATGTCCATGGATACTAGAGCTTAGATCATGCCCAAAAAATTCAGCCCGACCCGGCCCGAGCCCGTGCACGTTATGTCTGGGACCGTCCTGGCCCGTCCAATTAACTGTAATTATGGGCCCGAGCCCGATTTAAACCCGACATTTTTCAATAAGTTGGCTGTTATAATTAACGCTAAGGACACACCGAGCACGTTAGTGCCGCGGAAGTCCTGCGAGTGTACTCGCAAGCGCTTGACTGTCCACACAGGCAGCGCATTTCTCCTGCGCTCTCCGCGCCGGTTAAACATCTACTCCACTTGTCTGTTCCCGTCAGTACTCGTTTTTTCACTTCAACAGGTCATTTTAAACATGGGTAAGCCCATATTTTCATAGTTTTTTATAACGTAATAAGTTAATGACAAATTGTCATTGCATGTCCATGTATTGAGCTGAATGAATAGGGCATATTTTTTGGAGGTACGGAAAGCCGCTGTCCCTCCCACTTATCTCTACCGACCCCCACCCCACCCCACCCCCCATATCTCCATACCATACCTCTCTCATATCTGACCGGGCCCGGAGGGGTGGGGGGTCCCGGCCCGAACCGGCTTGGGCCCGCGGGCCGGGTCGGGCCGGGCTCGGGCAGAGAATCTAAGCTCCAATGGATACATTGATATGTGAGGAGGGAAACCTTGTACTCAATCCTGGTGGAGACGGGAAGCCAGTGGAGTGAGTAGAGAATGGGGGTGATGTGCTCATGTTTCTGCACTCTCATCAGGATCCTAGCTGCAGAGTTTTGGATGTATTGAAGCATCTGCAGGCTCTTGCTAGGAATCCCAATGAGAAGTGCGTTACAGTAATCTGTCACCACTTTAACCATTTTAGCACTGTTCGTACTGTTAGCTGCTAGCCACTGGTTCAGCCACCTCCATGCTGATAGCCATGTCCAGACAACCCAAATCAAACTGAATCATAGATATGCTCTGAATGTCGCGTAGAGCTCCTGTGATTTCCCCCAATCTTCTGATTCTGATCATGTAAACAGACTCATGCTGCATTAGATTTTACTTCATGGAAACACAGCAAGCGCTCTTGGTTTTTTGTCTGCTTTATATGAAATGTCATTACTTGAAGGCAACCCTGCAGTTGTAGTGAAGTGTCTGGTGATGCTGCAGGTATCCCGCCTGCTGTGGGACCTGTTGGGTGATGTCTGTCAGCCTTTCTACTATGGACCGCTGGGCCTGGACCACAGCACCAGCACCAGGAAGGCTCTCAGGGTCAGTGATTGGGAAACTCCAGGCTTCTTTTGTTGCTTTTGCACACTGAACAAAAATTTAAACACAACACTTATGTTTTGACTACCATTCTCCACAAGTTTAAGATCTAAGACTTTTTTTCATGCAGTCATCAGAAATATTTCTCTCAAATTTTGGTCGCAAATCTCGTGAGCACTTCTCATTTTCTAAGATAATCCATCCACCTGACAGGTGTGGCATATCAGAATGCTAATTAAACAGCATCATTACTACACAGGTGTGCCTTGGGATGGTCACAATAAAAATCCCCTCTAATATGTACAGTTTGATCATACAACATAATGCTACAGATGTCGTTTTGAGGGAGCGTGCCATTGGCATGCTGACTGCAGGAATGTCCACCAGAGCTGTTGCCCATGAACTGAATGTTTACAGCCATAAACTGTCTTCAGTGCTGTTTTTGTGAATTTAGCATTACATGCAACTTCCCACAGAACCGCAAACCATGTGTAACCACACCAGAAACCATCTCAGGGAAGCTCATTTGACTGACACTGGGGCCCCTGGGGTGAAGAGGCCTGTAGAGAGAGCGGGCCCTCGCAAGTGATTCAGATTAACATCTTAGAAATTATACCTGTGCTGAATGATAAATGATTTAAAAAGAATATTACTAATTTAAAAAGGGTGCCATTTGCTGTATATGTCCTCAAAAAAGGCAAATAAATTCTTTGCCTTTTCTATATAAACTATAAAATCTATAAATATACCATAAAAACTGATTATGAAATGACTAATTTATTACTTTCTTTGATATTTTTGTCAGATAATGCAATGATGATTTCTGGGTAATTTTTATGTTGATGTTGTCCAATGTCAAGTCTAAATTTGTGTCAAGACATGCATGACAGCATGCACTAGGGCCCGTCATAATAGCGTACACTGGGGCCCTTCATAACCTCCTCATCTCACTTATCTCTTTGTGAGGCTAGAGGTTCCTAACTACAATAGCTGCAACTAACACACACCAGTATGATGTAGCACTAGCTTTTGAGAAAGATAAAGAATCCATGGAGTGCATGTCTCTGGTTCTGCTGCAATGATTTGATTCCTTGGTGAAGTGCTGTTTTCGGTAAAACTATCTGAAGTTTACATCTTGCTGTAGATTAAGTCATGTTTTTTTTTTATTGAACATTTAAGTACATACAGGACAACTAGACAAGTACAGAACAGTATGGAACAAGGGGCAATTACGGAACTAACTAACAAACAAACTAACAAAACAAAAACAAAAACAGGGATTTTTTTTAATGATAATAACCAGAAAGGAGAGACATAAGCGTTTTATTAAATTGTGTTTTTCACTTTATATGAAATTACTGAGAACAATGAAAAAAAAACTGTTGGCACAATTTCAAAAGGATAATGAAATAATGGATAGCTGTCAGCTGTAATAGAGCTAATTCTGTTCAGATCTGACTCCTTCACTTGTGACTCTTGTCTTGTCTTACCTTCAGCAAGTCAATAAAATGCTGCTGGGGGAGTGTTTGTACCGGGACCAGCGCTGTCTCTCACCCTGGGCAGCCCTCTTCATCTGGGCTGTCCTGCAGAACCGCAGTGAGATGGCTGTGTACTTCTGGGAGATGGTGAGACTCACCTGTAATATTTCCCAACCTAAAACTTTTTTTTCAGAGTTGAAGGATTTAGGAATTGGCTGTGTTCAAATGTTAAGATTATTATACAGTTTAAACCTGACTAGTTTTAGGTGATGACATTTTAGGTGCTGTGAGAAACAGGATGACCAGCATCAGCACACAACATTGAACTTTTGCCAAAGTCACAAAGCTGCCATTTTCAAAGTTGCCATCAAATCTGGTTTCATTTAAACAGCAGTTTATTTACCTTTGTTTCTGTGTTTCCTTGTTAGGCAGGGGAGTCAGTGCTGAGTGCTCTAGGAGGCTGTAAGATGCTGAGGGAGCTTTCTAAGCTTGAGAGTGAGACTGAGAGCAAGCTTGCCATGAAAGAATTGGCACAGAAGTTTGAAAACCTTGCACACGGTGAGTCAGACCACAAGCTTCTCTGTTCTCTACATGATTTGTATTTAGGGTGGCATAGATTGGTTGTACTCAACTTAAGCTATCAGTGATAATTAGTACTGTATTTAATAACAGAATTTAACTTGCATTAAATTCACCTAGGGGTACCACTCACTCAAAAAGGGAAATGATGGCCAACTCATTAATTCAGTCTCAATTCTTGAGGTTGCTACTGAGTTCTTGACTCAAAACAGAGACAAAACTACATGATCAAGTTATTTATAAATGAAAGGTTTATTAAACTACCAACACATTCTCATCCCAAGTTGTCACATTTCCGGTTTCTCAGTGGCCTGTCTGCTGTTGATCTTCCAGGACGCTGCTACCAACACCGGGATGTCAACAAAACCAAGTGGTTAGGTTTAGGCAACAAAAGCATGTGGTTACGTTTAACAAAAGCATATGGTTAGTGTAGAGGCTAAGCCTAAAGTGCGTTAAAGGGGAACTAACGTTTTTTTCAACCTGGGCCCTATTTTCTGATCTACTTTTGTCTAAATGAGTGATAGGATGTTCAATATGTGACATTTCTCCAGTACGAAGCTCGGGCGGACCTGCCTGCAGCTCGTGAGTGCGTTGAATGTTAAATAATAGGGCACTCAGACCACGTCAAATAATGTCAAAATACGTCCACTAAAAAAGCATTTCTTCAGATTCAGATTCAGAAAACTTTATTGTCTGTCGTAACAGAAAATCTTCTTTGACGTGGCTCCACATACAAAACAAGACAGTACACTGATTGGAAACAATCGCACAACACAGATTCTGAAAGCACACACAGTGTGTATAGATCTTAAAAACAAGTATAAAATTAAAACTGTAAAAATAGACAAGATAAAAGGTGTGGATATGTGTAAAGTGACATAGTGCATCAGGGTTATTTTTGTCCATTGTTCATTATTTATTTAAGATGTTTATGGCAGTGGGTATGAATGAGTTTTTGTCGATGTTTTTCTTAGATGGGGGACTTTATAGCGGCGGCCTGGTGGCAGGAGTTGGAAGGACTTGTGCAGGGGGTGGGCGGGATCCTGTGTAATGAGGTTGGCTTTCCTTTTAACTGCTCGGGTGTGGAGGGCTGACAATTGATTTTGAGTTTTGCCAGTTATTTTGCTTGCTTGATTAATGATCCGGGAAAGCTTTGATTTGTCTTTAACAGAGGTGAAGGTGAACCAGGACGTGATATTAAAAGTGAGTACAGATTCTATGAGTGATTTGTAGACAGCTGTTAAAATATCCTCTCTGACATCAAAGCAGGAACAGGCGTTGCTGAGCCTTCTTGCACACAGCGTCTGTGTGCTGGGAGAAGGACAGGCGGGTATCAATCTCTGTGCCCAGGTATCGGAAGGCCTCCACCTGCTCCACTGCCTGCCCGTTCAGCCTCAGAGGTTCAAAGAGAGGTTGGGGGGAAGATGTTCGCCTCCCCCCACAACACAGCTCCTTGGTCTTGGAGATGTTAAGCTCCAGAGAGCTCTCTTTGATCCAGAGCATCAGGGTGTTAACCTGCTGATAGTAGGCAGCCAGAGACATGTGGTCCTTGATGTGGGCCAGCAGGGCCATATCATCTGCATACTTAAAAAGGGAAATGTCACTGTTATTGCTTGTTATGTTGTTTGTGTAAATGGAAAATAAAATCGGCGATAAAACACAGCCCTGGGGGACACCAGTGTTTAAAATCATGTTCTTGGATTTAAAACCATTTACCACCACATACTGAGGCCGGTCCTGCAGGAAGTCTTTTATCCACAGGATAAGTGATGGGTTGACTTGTAGATCCAGAAGGCAGTTGCAGAGGGTGACCGTGTTGACTGTGTTAAAAGCGGAAGAAAAGTCCATGAATAAAATCCGTGTGTGAGGGTGTGGGGAGTCCAGGTGTCTGCAAACTGTGTCCAGGAGAGTCAAACAGGCATCCTCCACCCCACGCTTTGCCTTATAGGCAAACTGGAGTGGGTCAAGCCTGTCCGCCACCATAGCAGTGAGGTGATCACTCACCACCCTCTCCATACACTTACAAAGTATGGATGTGAGTGCCACTGGTCTGAAGTCCTTCATCTCCCTGGCATTCTTTAACACAGATAGGCTAGGATTGTTAGTATATTTATCCGACAACATAACGGAAAGGAGAAATGAACGTCTGTCTTTACCTTTAGCTGGAATTGGACATATTTGTTGTGGCAAGTCAAAACACTTCCTCTGCCTGCTCCCTCTCTCTCCTCGTCCCTCTTCGCTGAGCTCTGTGTCCGTGTATGTCCATGTACTCCGTGTTCAAATAAATACGGGCGGTCATCAAATTCAAATGGCTCATCCAGATCCAGTTGGTCAAAATCAGGTAAAAATTCAGCCATAAGTACTCCAAACAGTCACATTTGTAAGCTCGCTCCAGCGGTAACTTCCTGCAACAACTCAAGTCTCATGAAACCAACTGCCAAAAAACACCATAGACTGTACAGTAAAACACCAAAGAAGAAGGAGAATCTCGTGAGACGTGAGATTTCAGAGCCAGACTTTCACTCTCTGAGTGAGTGTTTTGACTTGCCACAACAAACATGTCCAAATTTTTACCTGATTTTGACCATCTGGATCTGGATGAGCCATCAGAATTTAATGACTGGCATCAGACTCAACAATTCAATACAAAACAGAAAAGCCAAATGTAAACCCAAACATTCAAAATGCACCTTAATACCATGAATCCACCTCTTGTACCAAACACAACTTTGTTAGAGGTCTTTTGATAACGTTAGTTTTGGTTTGCAGAGTGACAGAACACACCAGGCCACTTTTGTCTGGTAAGATCTCTAACACCTTTCCAAGAGGCCAAGATCCACGGGGGGCTGCAGGATCCATGATTAGCACCACGTCTCCAATCTTCAAACTTCTTTTCCTCTGATTCCACTTCTGCCTCTCCTGAAACAACGGCAAATACTCCTGAATGAATTGCTTCCAAAATAGGTCGGTAAGGTGTTGTCTCCGTCGTTTTACATATACTATATCGGTTGCCTCAAAGAGCCCAGGAGGCATGGCAGGCTTTCCCTTTAACAGAAGCAGGTGATTTGGGGTTAAAGGCTCCAAATTGTTCGGATCATCAGACAGTTTAGTGATTGGGCGATCATTAAGAATAGATTCTGCCTCACACATAACCGTGTGGAGCCCATCATCATCCAACACCTGCTGGTGTAAAACTGAACTGAGAATGCCTCTTACAGAACTTATCAGTCGTTCCCACACCCCGCCATGATGAGAGCCCCCCTGGTGGATTAAACTGCCATTCAGCGTTAGCAGGAGTAAGAGCCTGTTGGATGCACTCATTATCCAATGCAGAGAGAGCTTCTTTCAATTCTTGTTCTGCACCGTGGAAGTTAGTTCCATTATCTGACTTGATAAGGACCACTTGCCCTCTTCTACTGATGAACCGATGCAGAGCATTTATACAAGCATCAGTCTCCAAAGAGCTTGCCACCTCCAAATGGACTGCTCTACTAACCAAGCAGGTAAAGATCACTCCATATTGCTTGTACGTGGTTCTACCTTTCTTCACGTCCAGAGGCCCAAAATACTCGATCCCAACGTTCATGAATCGAGGGAGATCTGGGTCGATTCGTTCCTTAGGAAGATCAGCCATCTTCTGTTCCACAAGCCTTCCATGACGACACCTGCAAAAACTGCAATTGGAGATCACACTCCTCACTGCTGAATTGGCACATGTAATCCAAAACTTCCTCCTTAGTGTTGACAATGAATGGATTTGGCCACTGTGACCCAACAGCTGATGAGAATCTTTGAGGATGAGCTTGGAAATGTAGTGATCCTTGGAGAGGATGAGCGGATGTTTAGTCTCCAAAGGCATGGCTCCTTTACTAAGTCTCCCCCCGACTCCTAGGAGTCCATCCTCCACGATCGGATCCAGCTAGTAAATGGAACTTTGTCGGCTTACTGTTCCCTTGGACAGCAAAGAGGAAAGCTCATCTTGAAACATTTGCTGCTGACAATAACGAACAATGGCTGACTCAGCCTCAGACATATCACTTGATGCCAAGGGTTTTGTCCTCTCCGTGATTATGGCCCTTCGTCTTCCCACTTCATCCACTTGTACAGCTCCAGAGGCCTTCCTCAGACGACTAAGCTCTAACAAGATGGCTTTGAGCAGCAAGAACCAAGCTACCGACACCTTGAGCTTTCTCCAGTCCGAGAAATAAGTGAGAAGATGGTCCGTGCTGGATGGCTTGGTACTGATGACATTCACCAAAACATCTTTCTTGACCTCTGGATCATCCAGCTCCACTTTGATGTCAATGCCATAGCAGGCTGGCCACTCTTCTTTGGAACCCCAAAGAAACTTAGGACCCTTGAGCCAACTGCGATCCTTCAGAAAGTCTGGCGCCCTTATTCCTCTGGATGCAATGTTGGCTGGGTTCTCTTTGGTTCCCACGTGCCTCCATTGTGAAGGATCCGAAACCTCTCTGATGGAAGCAACCCGATTTGCCACGAATGTGTGGAAACGTCTGTTGTCATTGTTGATGTACTTTAAAACTGACGTACTATCGGTCCAAAACCAAGATTTATCAAGGTGAAGTTCAAGCTCTGCCCTCAGCATTACACCCACTCTTGAGGCTAGGGCGGCAGCTGTTAGCTCCAGCCGTGGAACAGTCAAGGTCTTCAATGGTGTGACCCTGGCCTTTCTCAAAAGAAAAGCAACGTGAACTTTGTTTCTGCTATTTTGAAGCCTGAGGTAAGTTACAACCCCATAACCTTCTGTACTGGCATCAGCGAAGTGATGTAATTGGCTGTGTAGCGGCTCACCAAAGTCCTGTGGTTTTACACAGCGATCCACCTTGAATGACAACCTGCACCTCAATATCCTTCAGCCACCTTTTCCACAGGTTTTCAGTATCGAGTGGCAATGCCTCATCCTAGCCCTGGCCTCTCCTGCACAGCTCCTGCAGCATCATCTTGGCAGACAGAGTGAC